GAATTATCACGCGTAAGTCTTGCTGCCTCGCGTGTAAAATAATGGAACGTATTATCAAAATGCATATGATGCAAAAACAGGAAAAAAAAATAAAATGTCGTGTGATGCCCAAAATGGATTTCGTCCAGGGTGCTCCTGACTAACGAGTGCTATTTACTTGCACGGGAAATGGACAAGAGGTCCCTAATAGCAAGCGAGCTCGCCGCGAGCTAACGTACTCTAGGGGGGTAGTGGCTCTTTAGCCTGCTCGTGATTTGATTGGTTCCCGGGACGGCTGCGTCGGCGTCGCGAAGGTCGCCAGCGACCGCGCATACTTGCACTTGATTATCGATTAGCTTCGGCCCCCGATAGTCCTCCCGCTCTCGCCGATCCCACTTTTTGCTTTCTCACGCTGCAGTGCGCACGCAGCTTCTCGCTCAATGCTGTGATTGCCAACGCTATCTGTCTTTGTCTTTGTGTTCTCTTTTGTCCCCTTTTACCCAAAATTATGTTTACTCCTGTTAGTAGGTGTAAAATACGGCGTAAAGCACGTAGATCAACTGAAAAAATAATACGAGGAATCAGCGAAGAGGTGAGGGAAATGCCGTCGTCGGACACATCATATAGTATTTGGTCGGAAAGCGTCACGGACGAGTCTATGTCCTGAACTTCGCTGGAGTACGAACGCACTTCTTCATTGGAGAGTGCCAGTGTGTCTACGGACGAAGAAGTTGGTTCAACGGCAGAAGTAGAGGAGAAGGATGCAAGCGCTCGTGAAGCTGTGCGAAAGTGGGCTTTACGGTCGAAAGTTCCCCATTCGCACTTGAACGATCTGCTCAAGGCTCTGAAACCGTGGTTGCCTGTCCTACCTGCTGACACACGTACGCTGTTGGGCGCAACATACTTCTCTGCACCGAGCACGGCAATGGTCAGTGGTGAGTACATGCATCTGGGTCTTGCCACTCAGGCGAACGCGCAGTTGCGTAATCTAGCTCTGTCCCCTTCAGTAGAAGAAGTAGTTGTTAGCCTAACAATAGATGGTCTTCCAATCCATAGGAAGATTAAGCGTGAATTTTGGCCTATTTTAGGCAGAATCGTGAAGTCAATATTAAGTAAGGTCTTCACTGTAGGTATATATTGTGGAGTAGGTAAGCCGTCGGACGTGCAGGCGTTCTTCAAACCACTCGTCGACGATTTAATGTCGTTGAACGAAGACGGTTTGATGCTCGATGCGGGTGACAGAACTCTGCGTTTCCGTCTGGCTTCCTTCATCTGTGACGCTCCTGCAAGAGCTTTCATAAAGCAGATTAAGAATGTCAATGCTTACTTTGCCTGCGAACGTTGTTGCGTTAAGGAGGAGTACATCGATAAGATAGTTTATGATAGTGTCTCCGAACATGCTAGGACAGATGAGGTTTTTTTCAAGGGACGATGACTGCCATCGCATTGGCGTGTAGCCATTGCTGGCATGCAACATGGAAATGGTAAGCTCATTCTCTTTAGATCCTTTACATTTGGTTTACCTCGGTGTAGTGAGAAGACTGCTCAACTTGTGACTGCGCAGCCCTAGAGACAGTGCATATAGGTTGTCCGCATCGGCAATGTCGACTGCCGAGGGAATTTTCGCAGCGCGCTAGGTCATTAAATGACATGGACACCTGGAAGGACACAGAACTGCGCCAATTCTTGTTGTACACTGGCGTAGTTGTTCTTTATGGTGTGGTTCCACGCAAGTTTTGGAAGCACTTCTTACTGCTTTTTACAGCAGGACGCTACATAGTACGACCACGCTCATGCAGAGATTGGGTCCCGTTTTGCAGCCGTGTATTACGCATGTTTGTCGATAAATTTTCGTCTTTGTGCGGTAGGAAATAAATGGTGTACAGTGTTCAGAGCACTTTGCACTTGGCGGACGATGTAAAACCACATGGTCCGATGGACGCTTTTTCATCGTTCCCCTTCGAAAGTTACCTAGGTAGGTTAAAGCGTCTGCTGAGGAAACCATCCCAGCCACTGCAACGAGTAGTGCGTAGGTTAGGGGAATTGCAGTCAGTGGCAATTGATATCCACCTTCATCTGGAGTGGACGTGTAAACAACAGCATACAGATGGACCACTAGCGCAGCATCATGGTGCATTTACACAATTTAAATGTATCCAAATGGGTTACCTAGTCATTAGTACTACAATTGCCGATGGCTCAGTGGCCATCGATGATGAACTAGTTAGGATTAGAAATATAGTGAGATATGCATCAGGCGACATTGACATAGTTTACTCGGAGTTTATTAACATAGAAGACTTCTTTGATTATCCCGTAGACTCCTCAAACATTAAGGTTTTCAAGTGCAGGTTAGGGAGCGATATTCACAGCTGCCGTTTGCCGAGCACGGTGCAGAAGTATGCGTGCTTTCCAATGCAGGAGGAATTCGTCCTCATTGAAATTAATGGACGTTGGGACTCAGCGGACAGTGCAGCGGTTGGTAAGTCTACCGGCTGACGGATGATTGCGTACGACGACGGCCTTTCAACACCTTCTTCAAAGTTCTTCAGTGTCTCACTGAAAACCCCGCCGCTAAGCGGTCACTATCTGCGAATCCTACAACCCAACGGTCCCTTATTTACAGATTCGCAAATGGTACGGGGATACTGTGGGACTTACATAAGTTTCGGCCCTAAACATTACTAACTTAATCCCGTTGGGTTGTAGATAAGTATGTGCGAACCTCCGCATAGGGAATATGTATGTATATTGAAGGGTTACAGGCAGAGCCCTTGATGACCCTATTTATGTACAGTGCTTTCGCAGATTCATACTCAAAAATTAAATAAAATTGCAGGCATTTAAAATGTGATTGGGTCACAGTTCAATCGTAATCCTAAGTTAGTGAATAGGGTCAATGTAAATTAGTGCGGAAGATTGTGTATGACAGATTTTACAAAACTGGCTGTGCATAGTCATGCTGTACAAGCCGATTTCTGTCGAAAACTAGACGAGCAAGTTTTCTTTTAAACACACAAACTGTGTCAGCCGTCACTATCTCGTTTGGAAGCGAGTTCCACGGCCTGACAACCCGCTGGCTGAATGAAAATTTTCGTCGGTCTAAACGCGTGCGCTCATTCCCGACTTTGTATGCATGGCCGCGTAGTTGGTTTGTACGGGCGAACTCAAAGAAGTCCTCTGCTCTTAATGAGCAACCCTGGCCGCGAACAATTCGGAACGTCCAGAGTAGACTGCAGTTTATTTGTCTATAAGAGAGAGGGAATAGGCCAAGCAAATTCAGCCTCTCCTGATAAGACAAATGCTTCAGACCGTCGACCATCTTTGTCGCTCTGCGTTGCACCTGTTCGAGTAAGTTGATATCCTTCCTCATCCATGGTGAAGCTGCTGGCATTCCATACTCTAGATGAGGTCTTACAAAGACACCAAAGAGTCTTTCGAAAAGTTCGGGAGGAAATATTTTAAATGCACGTCTTATCCAGTGTAGAGTACTAGTAGCCTTCTGGACCATCTTTCTGCAGTGTTCTGATGGCGATAGATTTGTGGTCGTCCATACACCCAGATCTCTGTGTCTTTCCACAGTTTCTAACCTCGTCCCGTCAATATAGTACTGGTGTTTGGGAGAGGCATTGCGACCGGTGTTCAGGTGCAAAACCACGCATTTGGACACGTTAAACTTCAAAAGCCATCTGTTCGACCAAGCACACAGTTTGTTGATGTTCGACTGCAACTTCTCTGCGTCATCATCGCACTTGACTTCACTCCATATTTTTATGTCATCCGCGAAAATTAGAGCCCCGCAATTCACTTCACTGATGCAGTCATTAACATAAATCAGGAAGAGTACTGGGCCTAAGACAGAAACCTATGGGACACCACTTTCCACCTTTACCCATTCCGAAGTAGAATTACTAACGACGACTCTTTGTAGTCTGGAGGACAGAAAACTCCTGATCCACTTGAACGTTCTCCCTTGAATCCCTACATCCCAGATCTTTTGTAAAAGAAGCCTGTGTGGGACACTGTCAAAGGCCTTCTTGAAGTCAAAAAATATGACATCTACTGGAAAACCCTTATCGGTAGCTCGTGTCCATTTCTCGTGCGAGTAAAGAACACTCGTTAGGCAGGAGCGCCCTGGACGAAAGCCGTGTTGGGCATCGCACAATATTTTGTTCTGTTCCAGGTATTTCATCAAGTGTCTTTTGATAATGCGTTCCATTATTTTACACGCGATGCAAGTAAGACTGACAAGACGATAATTTCCGCAGTCAAGTCTTGAGCCTCCTTTATGGATCGGAGTAATGAGTGCGCACTTCCATTCTTCCGGGAGCTCGCCGTCTTCAAATGACTTTTGAAATATTGCGGATAAGGGTTTGCACAGTTCATTAGCAAGTTCACGAAGTGCTAGGGCGGGAATTCTATCTGGGCCAGGCGATTTGGCAGGTTTCAGCCGGAGTAGCTCGGCCCTAATTATGGTAGATGAAAAGAGTGGTTCCTCGGTTAAGGAGGGTAGGGAGGGGATAGGATGGGGAAGGGTACTGGGGGGAGAGGTTGGTTGGTGAATGGATGGATGGGCAAATATAGCACTAGGTTCTCGGGTGAAGACGGACTGAAAGAAATAGGAAAGGAGGGACGCTTTAACCTGATCATCAATCTCCACTTTTCCGTCTGCAGACCTGAGGGCAGGGATGAGCTCCTGAGTCCTTTTAGTACTTCGTATATAACCATATAGAATTTTCGGATGCTCCAACGAATTTCGGAGTATGTTTAGTTCAAACTTCTTTCGCAGCTTTGAGGCCTCACTTTTACAGACGTTTCGTTGCCGCTTATATTCCTGTAAGTGTTCGTCGGAGCCAGTTTGTCTGTAACGCCTCCACAGACGATTCCTTTTTCTGAAAGAGGCCTTCAAGTCCGGGTTTATCCATTTTGGGCGATTTGTGATTGTCTTCCTTCTGAGAGGACAATTGGAATAAACAATCTCTTTCAGTAAGGAACTGAAAATATTCCAGTTATCGTTTGCTTGACCATGCAGTTCAGTCTCCCATGATATAGCTGCCGCTTCCCTCCTCATGAGAGAATAGTCCCCTTTCCAAATGTTTCTCTCCCACCTCTCGGGTTGGACGGGTTTGGAAAACAGTGAGTACTCGAAGTAGAGCGTGATGTGGTCGCTTGACCCTAACGGCTGTCGGTCCTGCAGGTCTAACACATTTTCCTCCTCTCGGGTAAAAATAAGATCAAGGCAGTTCGACTGCTGCCCTTCCCTGACCCGTGTTCCAAAGGTAACATTCTGGCAGAGAAGTTTGTCCGTTGCCCATTGTAGTAGTTTGTGATTAAAGCTGTCTTGCGGCCCTTGTGCAGTCCACGTTAGCCAATCAATGCCAGGAGCGTTAAAATCCCCAACGATAAGGACATCTTTCTTCCCACTGACTTTGTTAAGCTCAGTTACGAGCATGAGATCTTGGTCAGAAGTATGGTTAGGTGAACGGTACACCATCGAAAGCGTCAATGATCGGACATTCTTAGTAGATATGGTAACGCTTAGCAGTTCCACATCCCGTACCGGTCCATGTACATCAGCCATAGCGCTTAGCTTGCAAGTGACATAAATTATGACTCCTCCTCCTCGGCTTAGTCTATCTCTCCTGAATTGCTGATATCCTCTAAGTGATATTTCTGAATCTGCGATATCTTCAGTAAGCCACGTTTCTGTGAATGCCATAATGTCTGGCTTAATTTCATCAACTAAGTCTCTTAGTTCATCTAGTTTGTTGAAGAGGCTTTGCACATTTGCGGATATAACCTTCAATGACTGATTCGTTGGAGAGGCCCGGCCTTCATTGTGACGGGTTCTGACCACAGGAAAGACCCCTTTGTCTGGACTATTTGTCCATTTTTAATCTTCAGCCCTTTCTCTCCTCTGCCAATTCTCTCCTTCAATTCTGATCTCAGTTCTCTCATTTTCAGTCTTTCCCTCGGTTCGTAGTCTGGTTGAAAAAACACTTCCTTGTGCGAATTGCGTAAGGTCGTTCTACTTTCTAACAAAAGCGATGCTTGGGCTTCGTTTTCCAAAATAACTTTCAGGGGTCTTGGGGATGTTTTTAGGTCACGATTTGGGTGCGCTCTGCCTAGTCGGAAATTTTTTTTAACGGTGAATATTTCCCCATCCTGCAGAACGGCACTGGCGTACTGCTGAAGAAGGTCTAGGTCGTGCGTTACTCGTTCCTTCGGAATGCAGGATGTGGACTCTGGGGCGCCCCTTATGACAATATTTTGCTTACGATTTATGGAATAGCTCAGTACTGTCCCGTCCGCGCTAGGACGATATAATGCTACTGTAGTATTCCCGACGGATGTTGGCACTTCGACATTTGAATGATTTCCGGCCGGCGAAGGGAGTTTAGGGCATGGATTTCTCATGTGACGTACTTGCACCGGCAGTGGAGCTCTTACAATCATTACCCTGTTGCAACGTACTGCACGAAGGCTGATAGTGTCCTTTTCCATAAACGGATTGGTTAGGGCACTTTCCAGATGAGTTAGCCTTGTGGAGAAGGGGAGCCCAACAAGAAATACATTGGGCAGGAATACGTAGGCGATGATTCCTTTCCATCAACTTCCTCATCGTCGGTAAGGATAACAAAGCATAGCGAAACAGGTTCGTTTTTGGAATCAACATCCGATTTGGACAGCAGTTCGACAATTCCGAAGGGACTATCACCAAATCGTTCAAGTCAATCTTCGTTTTTGCTATTACTTATATAAATTTCAGATGGAGGGCATATCACTAGCACGCCGAAGCAGAAGCGACGGCGACATGAACATTCACTTACCCGCCGCCGACATAGGAAGCATAAGAAAAGATCGCATTGGACAGCTTCAGGGATAAAGGAAATACTGGCTGGGCAAAGAGAACTGAAAGCCCAGATGGCAGCACTTATGGAGGTAGTTCGTCACCTGGCGGCATCCAACTCCCTGCCGTCAGCCGTTGAGACACCCATTGTGCAACGAGTTAGCACCTTGGGCGGTTACGACGAGCTGACGACAGGAGAGTCAGACGCGTCTTACAGGCGAAATTTGGTAAACGGTGTTTGCTATTAATAATAACCTGATTCAGGTTGCCTACCTCTCGGCCATGGGGGGCGACACAGTTTCGGCCTTTGCAGAACGAATATTTTTCACCCTTTTTTCAGAGGACGTGGCCGAGTTCCTCACTTTTTACGGAAGAAAGCCTGGTACTCGGGTCTTATTTGACAGTCCCGTGTATTCTGTCATCCTGGGTAGGATTTGCAATTAGACCAAATAAACATTCACATTCTAGAGGTCTTCAATCGTTGGAATAAGGACCACCACTCAGACCGCCAGCAATTAGAAAATGCATTTAAGAATGCATTTAAGAAGGGGCACGATCGCTATCAAAGGAAGTGCCATAGGGCTTCCTACAGTAGGCAATCAAAAGGTACCTATTAATATATTGATGCGATTATTATGTAACATAAATCCTAATATGTTTACTTACCACTGCCAAATCTTTCCCTTTTAGACCCCTCCTCAAATATCACAGAACCCGCCAATTACAACGGGGAGGAACAGGCATAATGCTTTATTGTATCAAAACACAGATATATTAACAACTATTTTTTATAATACAATTCTCCTAATCCAAACATGTGTTCCTATATTTACCTTATCGGGAAAAAAGGCAGTTATTAATGGGAATTGGGCAGCACAAGTGAGGGGAACCCCTGGTTGGGTAAACGCTGGTGCTCGTTTTTGGAGCTCGGGCCAAGCTCGGAACGACCTCGCTAGCCGTTTTTCAGAGCTCATTTTGGACACGTTTTCGCGAGCTCCGTATGAGCTCCGATCACTTACCATTTCAGAGCTCCAGCAGAGCTCGCCTGTCTCGCAAAACGAGCTCCCTGCGAGTTCATTCAGAGCACATTTAGCTATTAGGGGTGCCGATAACCCTAATAGCAAAATGTGCTCTGAACGAGCTCGCAGGGAGCTCGTTTTGCGAGGTACGCGAGCTCTGCTGGAGGTCTGGAGTGGTTATCGATCAGAGCTCGTACGAAGCTCGCGAAAACGAGCCCAAAATGAGTTCTGAAAAATGGGATTGCGAGGTTGTTCCGAGCTTAGCCTGAACTCCAAAAAACGAGCTCCAGCGCTTACCCAACCAGGGGTCCACCTTACTTGTACTGCCGAATTCCCATTAAGTACCCCAATTTGCCCCAATGAATTAAATAAAGGAACACAAGTTTGGGTATGGAAAACTGTATTAGTAAAAAAATACATGTTATCTAATATTTATCTTAATACATCAAAGCCCTACGGCTTTTGGTTCCCGTTGTCAATTGTGGGGTCTGTGATAGTCGTGGTGGGGTCTAAAAGCGAAAGATTTCGCAGTGGTAAGTGAACATATTATGCTCATTGCTATTTAGTAGTAACATCAATATATAAATACATACCTTGTGATTGCCGGCTTGAGGATGCCCTATGGAATTTCCTTTAATAGTGATCGTGCGCCTTCTTAAATGCATTTTTAATGCATTTTCAAGCTGTTGGCGTTTTGGTCTTTATTACACCTACTGAAAACCTCTAAAATGTAATTGTTTAGTTGGTCAAATTGCAAATCCTACCCAGGATGACAGAATAAACGGGACTGTCAAAGAAGCCCCGAGTTCCCGCCTTTCTTCCATAAAACGTAAGAAACTCAGCGACGTCTTCAGAAAACAGGGTGAAGAATAATGTCTCCGCGAAAGCGGTTACTGTGTTAACTCATATGGCGGACAAGTAGGCAACCTGAATTTGGTTATTATTAATAACAAACACTGTTTACCAAATTCAGCCTGTACGTAGTGTCGGACACTCCGGTCGTCAGCTCGTCATATCCAGCCAATGTGCTGACTCCTTGCACGACGGGCGATTTAACAGCTGACGGCAGGGAGTTGGATGCCGTCAGGCGGCGCACTTCCTCACGGAGAGCCGCCATCTCAGCTCTAATTTCTCTTTGTCCAAGCAGCAGTTTCTTTACGCCGGAAATTGTCCACTCCGACCTTTTTGTTTTCTATGTCTGCGGTCGGACCGGGAGTGCTCATTTCGCCGTCGCTTTCGCATAGGCGTGCTTCTCATGGGCTGCCCATCTAAAATGTATATACGTATTAGCAAAACCAAAAGCTTACTTGAACGATTGGGAGATAACTCCTTAGGAAGAGTTGGGCTTGTGTTAAAATCCGTTAAAGATTCCTAAAAGAAACCTGTGTCGCTTAGCTTTGTAGACCTTACCGATCATGATGCAGTTGACGGCAACGATTCGTCGCCCAAGTATTCCTGCCCAACGTATTTCTTGTTAGGCTTACCCTCCCTATGGGGTCTTTCCGACATAGTTATCTACAACCCAACGGGATTAAGTTAGAATTGTTTTTGGGCCGAAACTAATCTAAGTCCCACAGTATCCCCGTACCATTTGCGAATCTGTAAATAAGGGACCGTTGGGTTGTAGGATTCGCAGATAGTGACCGCTTAGCGGTGGGGTTTTCAGTGAGACACTGAAGAACTTTGAAGAAGGTGTTGAAAGGCCGTCGTCGTACGCAATCATCCGTCAGCCGGTAGACTTACCAACCGCTGCACTGTCCGCTGAGTCCCAACGTCCATTAATTTCAATGAGGACGAATTCCTCCTGCATTGGAAAGCACGCATACTTCTGCACCGTGCTCGGCAAACGGCAGCTGTGAATATCGCTCCCTAACCTGCACTTGAAAACCTTAATGTTTGAGGAGTCTACGGGATAATCAAAGAAGTCTTCTATGTTAATAAACTCCGAGTAAACTATGTCAATGTCGCCTGATGCATATCTCACTATATTTCTAATCCTAACTAGTTCATCATCGATGGCCACTGAGCCATCGGCAATTGTAGTACTAATGACTAGGTAACCCATTTGGATACATTTAAATTGTGTAAATGCACCATGATGCTGCGCTAGTGGTCCATCTGTATGCTGTTGTTTACACGTCCACTCCAGATGAAGGTGGATATCAATTGCCACTGACTGCAATTCCCCTAACCTACGCACTACTCGTTGCAGTGGCTGGGATGGTTTCCTCAGCAGACGCTTTAACCTACCTAGGTAACTTTCGAAGGGGAACGATGAAAAAGCGTCCATCGGACCATGTGGTTTTACATCGTCCGCCAAGTGCAAAGTGCTCTGAACACTGTACACCATTTATTTCCTACCGCACAAAGACGAAAATTTATCGACAAACATGCGTAATACACGGCTGCAAAACGGGACCCAATCTCTGCATGAGCGTGGTCGTACTATGTAGCGTCCTGCTGTAAAAAGCAGTAAGAAGTGCTTCCAAAACTTGCGTGGAACCACACCATAAAGAACAACTACGCCAGTGTACAACAAGAATTGGCGCAGTTCTGTGTCCTTCCAGGTGTCCATGTCATTTAATGACCTAGCGCGCTGCGAAAATTCCCTCGGCAGTCGACATTGCCGATGCGGACAACCTATATGCACTGTCTCTAGGGCTGCGCAGTCACAAGTTGAGCAGTCTTCTCACTACACCGAGGTAAACCAAATGTAAAGGATCTAAAGAGAATGAGCTTACCATTTCCATGTTGCATGCCAGCAATGGCTACACGCCAATGCGATGGCAGTCATCGTCCCTTGAAAAAAACCTCATCTGTCCTAGCATGTTCGGAGACACTATCATAAACTATCTTATCGATGTACTCCTCCTTAACGCAACAACGTTCGCAGGCAAAGTAAGCATTGACATTCTTAATCTGCTTTATGAAAGCTCTTGCAGGAGCGTCACAGATGAAGGAAGCCAGACGGAAACGCAGAGTTCTGTCACCCGCATCGAGCATCAAACCGTCTTCGTTCAACGACATTAAATCGTCGACGAGTGGTTTGAAGAACGCCTGCACGTCCGACGGCTTACCTACTCCACAATATATACCTACAGTGAAGACCTTACTTAATATTGACTTCACGATTCTGCCTAAAATAGGCCAAAATTCACGCTTAATCTTCCTATGGATTGGAAGACCATCTATTGTTAGGCTAACAACTACTTCTTCTACTGAAGGGGACAGAGCTAGATTACGCAACTGCGCGTTCGCCTGAGTGGCAAGACCCAGATGCATGTACTCACCACTGACCATTGCCGTGCTCGGTGCAGAGAAGTATGTTGCGCCCAACAGCGTACGTGTGTCAGCAGGTAGGACAGGCAACCACGGTTTCAGAGCCTTGAGCAGATCGTTCAAGTGCGAATGGGGAACTTTCGACCGTAAAGCCCACTTTCGCACAGCTTCACGAGCGCTTGCATCCTTCTCCTCTACTTCTGCCGTTGAACCAACTTCTTCGTCCGTAGACACACTGGCACTCTCCAATGAAGAAGTGCGTTCGTACTCCAGCGAAGTTCAGGACATAGACTCGTCCGTGACGCTTTCCGACCAAATACTATATGATGTGTCCGACGACGGCATTTCCCTCACCTCTTCGCTGATTCCTCGTATTATTTTTTCAGTTGATCTACGTGCTTTACGCCGTATTTTACACCTACTAACAGGAGTAAACATAATTTTGGGTAAAAGGGGACAAAAGAGAACACAAAGACAAAGACAGATAGCGTTGGCAATCACAGCATTGAGCGAGAAGCTGCGTGCGCACTGCAGCGTGAGAAAGCAAAAAGTGGGATCGGCGAGAGCGGGAGGACTATCGGGGGCCGAAGCTAATCGATAATCAAGTGCAAGTATGCGCGGTCGCTGGCGACCTTCGCGACGCCGACGCAGCCGTCCCGGGAACCAATCAAATCACGAGCAGGCTAAAGAGCCACTACCCCCCTAGAGTACGTTAGCTCGCGGCGAGCTCGCTTGCTATTAGGGAGGGGTTATTCAGTTGATGCCATATTTTTGACTTTAAGAAAGCCTTTGATAGTGTCCTACACAGGCTTCTGTTACAGAGGATCTGGAATGGAGGAATTAAAGAAAATATGTTAAAGTGGATCAGTAGTTTTCTGCCCTCTACAGTACAAAGAGTCCTCGTTGGTTACTCTACCTCAGAATAGGCAAAGGTGCAAAGGGGTGTCCCGCAGGCTTCTGTTTAAGGCCCACCACTCTTCCTGATTTATTTTAATGACTGTATGTCCTTGGATTATCTCCTCTCTCTTATAGGCAGCTAAACTGCTGTCTACTCTGGACATTCCAGATTATCCGTGGCCGTGGTTGCTCACTAACAACTAAGACAATACAGAGGAGACATGATCATGGCCTTCAGGATCGTCCAAGGGCTAAACTGTGTTCATCAGTCTGACGATTTCTTCGAACAGGCGCGAACGGCCAATCTCAGAGACCACAAAAACGAATTGGAGATAAAATATGCCAAACTTGAAGTGCCGGTTAAATTCTTCTCCCACCGGCTGGTTGAAGGTTGGAACAAATTGCCTAACGCCGTTGTCTTGACAGAAAACGTTGAGACCTTTAAAAAGACTAGATAAATTTATGCTTGATGGTCAAGCATTTACTCGACATCAGCGGCTGACATAACTGTTATGTAAATATGTGCATGCGTTTTATACGTCTGTATATACATAGGGTTTTCCAGGGCTCTGCCAATATCCCTCATATATACTGAATATACTGAATTATACTGAACTGTTTGGAGTTTGCTCGTACAAGCCAATTACGCGGTCATCCTTACGAAGTCCAGAGTAAACGCGCGCGGCTAGACCGTGGGAAGATTTCATTAAGCCAGCGGGTTCTCCGAATATGGACTTGCTACCAAGTGGGATTTTGAGGATGGACACAATTTGCATGTCTAATAGAAAACTTGTTCGCTTAATTTTCGATAGAGGCCGGCTTTCACAGCATGACCAATCACAGCCAATTCAGTAAAACACTCTGTCATACACAGTCTCTATGCACTGACTTACAGTGAACAGTTGCGCTTCCTTAGCATTACGCTTTTATTGTGAGGCGATCACATCCTAAATGTGTGCAGTTTTATTTTGGGTGCGAATCTGCGAAAGCATTTTACATAAATAGCGTCATCAAGGGCTCTTCAAATACATACATGCATGCATACATTAAGCTTCATGCGTGCTGCTGAGCGAAAGAAAATGGAATCAGGTCGACATTTTTGTATCGAGAGAATTTTGACATTGGACGCCCAATGCTTGATCTACAAGGAACGCTGCGAGCTTACAAGTCTTGATGCCTTGTGGTTTGGTCGATTACAGAAGGGACTACTTTTGCGGATTAAGCTCTTTAACTATCCTACTATTAATCTGCTTTCTATATGAAAACAGCTTGACAACCCCCGATGTAACAGTCATCCTTGAGGTCTACTGGTTTATTTCTCTGGCACGTTATGGTTAATACAGTCAGTTCTTTTCTGAGAACAAAATTGCAATGTGGAACAAGATACACATGAATGTGAGAATTCTGAAAAATTATTCTTTGATTAAGAGAACCATTACTCGCTTTTCGCAGCCAGAAAATCTACCACACATTTTGGGTGCTGAATCCACTGATTTACTCTACCGTAGTGGTGGGGTTCGTGGTCAACGATTCACTGGCCCGTCTGCCCACGAACAATTCCTTCAGTTTCCCCTGAACAGCGGTTTTTCTGTGTCATGGTTTAGTACAGTCGCCGGCGAACAATGGTTTTGCAGTGCCCCTGTTCTTTCCAGTACCAATTTTATGTGAAGGAGTTGAGATTGAACATATCCAACGCAGTGTTACCCATCCCTTCCTGGACTGACGCCAATTCATGGGCGGCAGATTTTATATCCTGAACCATTGAGACTTGCAGTGAAAACGCAATTAGCCGTACGAAGAAAAATGGTTACAGCAAAAATCTAACTTTAGTTTGAAGATACTGTGTTTCTTAGAGACAAAATGATAATGGGAATACCGCAAATAATGGGAAAACCGCAAAAATAAATAGCTGTAAAGCCTCAGGAAAACGAGGCCACCTCCAATATCAGTTGTCATGGAGTGAGTGATCCGGATGAAGTCCTCAGTGTTCCGAGCTGAAGTCGGTTGCTACGGTTTGTTGCTCTGGCTGATTTACGTCCGACGAGATATTTCTGAGAAATAAAAATGTCACATGGCAATTAACTAAAAAGGGATTAGGGCCCGTGAGTGAAATGAGTGAAGTATTGACACCACGCCGCAGTCGGGCACCAAGCACGCCATCACTCAAGCCGAAACCAGTTGTGTGTATTTTCGGCTATTCAAATATCTATACAGGAGAGTTTAGGTGAGAAATCGAAAATGCACATTGACCTATAAACTACAAAGAGACCATCCTCAGTATTAAACAATAAGGAGTTTTTTCACTCTTAATCCTATTAGTACTTAAGTCTTCTTTGACAGTGCCTTTAAACTGGAATTTAATACAATTATGATTATTATTGTTATCGTCTTAGTCTTTACTGCCATGCCTAGCTTTTCCGTTTTTTTTCGACCTCTGATTTGGGTTTTTTGGTTGCAGCAAACGGGCGTGGTCTCGGGCGTTGATCGCTTATTGTGTAAGTAACATACGTGCCTGTGCCCGCTCTCCGCATAAGACGGATATGATAAAAGATCAGAGTGTAGATCCAAGTGGAATGACGAATTCAGTTATTTTCACGCCATTGCTCTTTGTCTTCCCTGATAACCCAGCGAAGATGTGCGTGCTTTACTTTCAAAGGAATTTTCCTTGCCCTCAGAAGAACGCCAAAAATCCTGCCAGTGTTTTTAGCGGCTCCCGTTAGTTCCTTGGTTAGTACTCCATTGAGTGCCTCCCTTTCGTCTGTCAGTATTTATCAGATATCGTTTACATGTTGACATCACGACCTCGCATTCGGATATTTGCTAGTGACTCCATAACACGATCGGTGAGCGCTCCGCTACTATTTTATATTTCCGGTCGCAACCCACAGGACAACGAATCCGCTGCTCAATGATTAAGGCGGTGAACTTCTAGCCAACAGGTCTCGGGATCAAGCCCCAGGTGTTGCACACCTCGGGGTCGGGTATGGCTGGTTGACAGTGACTAATAGGCCAGAAATGGCCATTCTAGTCTCCGTCGTCTTTGTCGGTAATGTAACGATGAGAGTTCGCTCTAATCCCCAAGTGAAAAGAGTGTATCGACGCGACGTCCAGCAGATATCGAATTCCCGAGATGGGTGTATGGAGCAGGTTGCGATTTTGTCCACAGTCTATCGATTCCATATCGGATTTTCGAAGTACTCCGGACACGATGAAAGTCAGCGTAGAGCATTACGCACGATTCCCAGACTTAACGGAATAAGTATACGTCGATCGGACCGGTGCGGTTCCACTTCGTGGTAGAATTCCTGCTCCAGAAAGTCTGTCTGCGTTGAAACCACCGTTATCTATAGTACAGATAGCTGTGGTTTCAGCACAGATAGGCTTATTAATTTGCCGGTCATACCGAAATTTCTGTTCACGGTACCATCAGCTTATGCGGAAGCATACTCGAACTGTTCGTCATAATCATTTGTACATATATATGACACATATGACGATATATGTTCTTATTCAAGGGGAGGAGTGATCCATCAATCTAAGATGCAAAATGACAAACAGAAGTTGATTTTGCGGGATGGATTCATATTCCAGCCTGTAAACTCGCACGTCCTTTTTAATACGTGTCTGGGTTGTTTGCGCTCAGATGAGCACTAGTCGCGTCTGTGAAGCAGGCAGGTATAGTAAAGTATGACTATTTAAGTTAACCTTTCGCTTGTAGTTATCTCGAAATGACTCTAGTCAGATGAGCCTTGTGGCGTTACGAAGCAGCACTTTCACGTTTGCGACATCGAACTGCATACATTGACAGTCCATCTTCTAGAATGTTTTTCGAAGGACACACATATCCGCCTCATTTCTTCTTATGCAGGTGTGGACAGGGTACTTGATACAGTTGTGATCTTGCCTAATGTAGCCGGTCCCGATGATACCGCGGGATGTACCTCACACCTGACGATTTATGGTATCGGATCTGGAAAGCTCGACCCATTCCCTTTTTCATCGGCGGAAGCCGAATGCAGAAGTTCTAAGAGCCAATTCTACAACTTAGGTACTTGTGCCGAAAAAGGTTTTGAGCCGGCCTCCAATTCGACGTGTCCAGTTGAGCGACGGCGCAGAATGAAGGTCGACAACATCGAGCTCATGAGGCGGAAGACGAGAAACGTGCCGAAATAATCTAACCGGACATGGTACGCCGAAAGGAGTTGGCGAGTTTCCTTACGAAGTTTGTCAGGTGCACTGGAAATTTGCGATAGGTGGCATCCATAGGACGGGCGTCGCTTCCCGGATCGCTCGGATCGGTGCTCGTAGGATTGCACTATATCCCTCCATAGCTACTTCGAAAATTAGCCACTCCAGCTCCAGCTAGAGCTCGGAGTGGACGTCACTCCGTCTTCCCTCTGATGCCATAGTTGCCTCCTCAGGACGCTGTTAACTGTGCCGAACTTCGTTCTGATGCATTGACGCTTCCTACCCACAGATGGCTTGCGCCTAACTTATTAATGATGGGTTTGACCCCTAGATGCGAATTAAATTAGTTATCCCAAATAAGCCTATCTCAACTACCTTTTTGCGTGTTGCCGAAGTATTTCCCAAACAACCGAGCATACATCGTCTGGATTCTATTATTTTTTATGCCCTGGCTAAATGAGGTCACTTTGTAATTTTAGAAACCACCAAAGGCCATATGGAATGGAAAAGCGGCATTCCGATGCCTTACGAAAGTGCCGAGTCGAGCTGGTTAGGGACGTGCACAGTGTGGAGGAGATTGTAGACCATTTGTTTGGCGGAAACATAATATCAGACAATCAGCAGCGTCTCATCCTGGCTGCCACAACGCCAGCCCAGAAACTACGCCTCCTGCTAGATACGCTAGTCCGCTGCGGCCCAAATGCATTTACTTCTTTTTGTTCTGCTCTCAAGGCCACAAAACAGTTTCACATACTTGAGCTTCTTGAGGCTGGCCAATCCACAAACGACTCTGTTGAAAATTGTCTGCCGTCATATGAGTCCACTTCGGCCGGTGCAACGCAGCCAGGTAGACCACAGAACAAAAGCATCATGCAGGAAAACGACTCCGGCCCAAGACGACCGGGCCATTACATAATCTCTCCCTATCCTGTATGCAGCACGCCACTTGGCTACATTTTGATAATAAACATTGCTGAATTTGTCCCCACATGCGGCCTGAAACCTCGTCTTGGCTCCAGAAAGGACACTGAAGGACTCGCCTCGCTCTTCCGAGATATAGGTTACTCCGTTGAAATTTTAGAGAACCCTGACACGCCAACCCTACTAGACGGACTATCTGCATTTGCAGCGAAGCCAGAGCATGCTTCAGTAAGCGCCGGTGGGATGGTTTTAATGTCACATGGTCTACGCGATCATATCTACACTTCTGAGGGACACTTGGTCAGCATTGAGAAATTGCTTAGTTATTTCACCAACAAGGCACTGCCCGGACTTGCGGGAAAACCAAAACTGCTCATCTTCCAGGCATGCCGAGGACGTGCACAGGACTTTGGGACCGTCAACACTGACTATACCGTTAGAAGAAACACTTTTGAGCCAGCGGATGGAACAGACGCTCCCGTCGGTAATTCTTCCTGGCATTCGCTGCCGTACATGAGTGATTGCGTGATAGCTTACTCGACACTTCCGGGTTTTGTATCCTGGCGATCTGAAGACGAAGGCAGCTGGTTCATTCAAGTGCTTCTGGACGTTTTTCGCAGACTCAGCGATAAGCTGCACGTCATAGATCTCCTGGCTGAAGTGAACAGAATCATCGTCGAACAATCACAGGATCAGATGTGCAAGCAGATATCACAACCGGCCACGAACCTAAGAAGACCCTTCTTTCTTTCCACCCGAGATGACTCCTGACTTTTTTAATGGGCAGGAAATTTGAAAAGACGAGGCATAACCCCTTCGTCAATGTAAAGATTATTTCCAAAGGTCGTAAAGATATTGAGCTGTCACTATTTACAAGACAAAACTATTATCTACATTTCACCCAGTTTTGGACATGAGTTCGGCAAAAGATATCGGGTGCCAACCACTATCGTAACTGTTGTAACAGAAGGCGACGTTGCGGTCGAAGTAGATCATTAAGCTCTCCAGACGGTACACTTGCTTGTCCTCGTAGAATCTGTTGGGCACTGGATGGTAGAGGAGGCCTCTCTGAGAGGCTGCGTTCTCAACTTGCTCCTTCAGACTGGACGGTGTGGCGACAGGCCGGAGACCGGGCGGCAAAGAGTAGGTGCTGCTCACGTGGGAGGTGCCGGCGACCGGGGGGACGAACGTCGCCGGGGATTCCTTACGGCAGTACAGAGATAAGATGGTAAAGCCTCTTGTAATTAAAGAAAAAAGACTAAAGACGGTAGGTCTAGTTTGCAAAACCCTTGGAGAGGTAAGTAATCTCTTGCATGTTGACCTGGAACACCCGGACAGCATTCAATCACCGTTAGCGGCCTTCCTACCACTTTTTTCACATGTATCCTTACTTGCGTTCTTATATTCGGAGACAAGTTGGACAGTAGAGCTACCAAGTCAGGCCGGACGAAGATTTAAGCGGCCAGGCTGATAGTCGTACATGTTTGGTGGCTTTACATATGCATGCATGGTATGAGACAATGCCTAAGGAAGGCTGGCTGGGCCTGCCTGTTAGCCTAGCTCCCGGTAATCTGGCGCGTCCATGGGTGGCGGACAGCAGAATAGCCATCAGTGACGGACAACAGCCGCAGACCACCACGGACGGTGCTACCAAAGTGCTGGGGGGAGAGGGGGGCAGAAGTATGGCTAGCCGACTGACTTACGCCACGAAGCTCGACGAAGGCAATGTGACGTGGCAACCGTAAATCATCATTAAGTGAGTTCACTTACTACTGTCGCCTTGTGGTCAGGTCCCTTAGCTGAAGCGCTATACACAAACCCACGCAAGCACGAGGAGAGGCTGCTGGGTATTTGTCCGTATGGAAAATTCGTAGAAAACCTTACATGGCATCTCTAAGAAGGCTATTAAAATTTACGATTTGGTACCTGCTGGGACCGATGCGCTCTGCCATACCGGCCCAATTGTGCAGCGAAGTTTGCGAGCTAGACTACTCTGACAGGAACGGACCCCTACCAATGACCGTTGGAACGTACGAACGTTCCCCGAGCCTTATATCCAAAGTCCGACGGCGCGCAGTCCTCATCGGCACATGGATGACTCCCGCTTGTCCGAGGTTCTCTCTTTTCACAACTTTCAGTGCGACTTTTCTAAGCGCGGTGTGACGATGGCCATCTCGTAATCAGCAAGCCATGAATAGTTTGCGGGAAACCAACCAAGAACGGCATTACTTGAGGGACACCATCAATATCGTTGACGTTTCTGTGACGCATGAACAATAATCACCGATCTGTGCGATACAGCAGCACCCTACTCAGAGCTGCAAGAACCTGCTGAAAGGCCTCTCTGCCACAATCGGTTGATTGCTCGTGCAGACTGGAGTGGACCAAGCGACTCTTCAAAAAATCCCCTTTATGACCGCCTCGGCTCTGGTCATCAATGCGAAAATTTGCTGAACAGAACGGATTGTTTGTAATCGAAAGGTGCTCTTAACATCACTGCAAACATCTACCGCTCTGGCATTTAAACGATGGTCTTGCGGCCTGGCAGGCCGACTATATGGCGTCGTTTGTGGTGGTCGAACTGCCGTGTGTGCTTGGTTTAGTCAGTAGGAGGAAACCAACTGTGCTCTGGCGTGCGTAGGGAAGAGTCTTTGGCTAGGCCGGCCCAGAGCCGTCACTTCTACCTTGCCTCGCTACCGTAAATTTGGTGCAGAATGACAGTGGGGTCGGTGCTACGCAGCTCTCTCTCTCTCTCTCTCACCCACACACACTTATCCAGTACATGAGTAAGTCACCTCAGGTGTTCTGGGAGTTGCGGTGGCCATAATCGCGTCTGACGGACGGAACATCACATGCTGACTTTTATAAACACCCACTTTATAAGGTTGATGGTTTTGCAATCATACAGTTTTTACGGTTGCACGAGACAACGCGAGGCCAAACTGGCGCAAACCGAACTAGCACTGGCGTGTCCAGTTTGGATTTGAACCTGCCTTATTACGAATCAAACGGTCTGCCCCGCGCTGACAGATTCTCGCGTGCTATCGGTTATGACTGAGTCCAAGGAATGACGTGACAACCGCGGAACACCCAGATAATAAATATTTCCTTTGATCTCAGAAGCGTGAATGAGGCAAAACAACGCTGCACCTTCCGCATGACAGTAGACAATCACCTTAGAAAGCACGCGCGCTTAATGTATTAGGTGTAATTAACATAACATTTTCTATAGAAGAATGATGAGTACAGAACCGATGACCTCTCCCCTTCCCGCTTACCGTCACCGATTGGGGCTACCAAAACGCATCGGAAAGAATACGGTGACGGTGTCATAGGCTGAATCTGGCGAATGAACAATCCGACCATGAGAAGAATGGGGCGAAATGAGATAAATAAGAATAGGGGACCACAACTTTCCGACTGAAGGAGATGGCCGAATGCAGCCCATGACTGCTACTTCTGGCCACGGTGGTTCTAAACATAACTACGACTGACTTTCCATTATCACTTCACACGCTTTCCACAAAATCCTTAAAGCCTGATAGACAGTGATTGGCTTTTAATGTTTGCTGGCTTTCTGAAACCTCAATTGACGTGTAGCCACATGAACTGCTAGTTAGGACACGGCGGGTCATATCGCTTAAAATCGGCGCCAAGGTCTACGTCGCCATATCTAAATGTTCTCAGGGTTGATTGACACGTCATTGCAACAGGAAAGACTATGGCTGGTGCGCGAACTCCAAAAGCGATTTCTCATGCCCTATTTTTTAGCCACGTTCGCTGTTACATCAATACACCAAACAGCCAACCGCCAACATGACATCGTCAGAAGTATCAGCTTCAATTCTGACAAGGAACCGACATGGGTTCGGTTTTCGATGTGCATGAAAGTCATGAGACAGAAATGAACTGTCAATGAATAGTAGAAGACGAAGTCTAATAAAATTTTAAATCCAGGCAGAGGAAAGGCACGTTAGTTCCATACATAGGTATGTTAACTCTACAGAGATGAGGCGACGATAGCAGAGCGTAAAAGCGCTGGTATTGACCAAAAAACCGTAATATGCTTGCAACCTAAAAAAAAAAACTAAGGCTTGGAAGCAAAGTAAGTGGGTGTGAAATGTGCTTCGCACCACTGGCGCATTGCACCGACTAGAAAAATATTACTGGGAAAGCAGAGCAGTGACGAGAACTTCGTTAACTTTTAAATATCATAATACGCGAGCGCGGATGGCCTGGCATGTTATGCGTCTTCGGGAGTCTAAATGAAGGCCTACAGCCCACTGTTCTAGTCCGGTTGTTTGACCATACCCATCCATAACGCATCTGTCGTGTATGCTCCGAGACATACGGTTATTTAATGATGGGGACAGAGAACTCAATCCCTCCTAGGTAGGATCACGTATATCACTGGCACTAACTTTTTTCCGACAGCCCACGTGCACTCTGGACAGCAAAGCAAGTGACACCCTTGGCCTTAGGAAATTTGTGTACTCTGTTCCCCAGAGGCCAGTCTACAACACTAAAACCGCGAGTGTGACGCACCTGGGGCGCAACACCGCGCATAGCCCGCTGCATCATCCCCAGGGCCTTGGTGAGAGCGTCCTTGATGCTGGGGTAGTCAGCTAATTCAGCCGGCAGTTGGCCCTTCCAACCCGAATACCAAGCACCAATTTCCTGAAACAATTGGCCAACATTTGGCGCACGTCGATTGCGCGCGTCAACGGCCTGAGTAAGCCAACCGGAGAGGACATTGAGCCATCGGGGGAAGAAGAAACGCTCCAAAAGGTCCACCAGGACTGCGTGATCAAGCAGATCCACCCAACGCATCACCCAGTTCCACGGATCCATTTTTTGATCGCTTGGATTTATCTGCAAAATAAGATAAAGGGAAAACAGAAGAAACCGTTAGGTCGGATATACCTCAAAATCCAGGGCGAATAGAGCTGAAATCCTGCGGGTGATGGAATTTCTAGAGGTTACCTGCATGTTGAGGAGCACGACCGCGGGCGTGGTGGGCATGCGCGTGCACGCAATCTCGAAGTCATGAGTGTTCATCAGAGGTGGAAACAGGTACAGCCCAAGGAGCAAAACCCAACAGACATACCTGGAAAGTCTGCAAGACAAGCGCCAACTTGGGCACAATGTGTCTGTTAAGGAAGATGGCCATATCAGTGAGACTGAAGACATTGCGCCAAGGCAGGAGGACGGCGTTGGCCGAAGCGTCACTGGGGTGCCAATTAGTTAGACAGGCAGCCAGCTTGTGTCGTACCACCTCGTGCACGGGAGTCAGACGTCCCGAACCACCAAACCAGGGTAACCAAGGGTGCAACCAGGAGTGGATGGGAATCGTGTCTGTCAGAGGGTCCCAGGCATCGACAGCGGCCTGGAAAAGGGGTAGAAGAGACAGGTTGAGTTGAAAGCATCGAAATGGGAGTTCTTCTCTCGCTGGACACATTTCAAAAGCAGAAATACGATACCAGGACCCGACGTTACGTAACAAGGATTCCTAAAACAGACGAAATTCGATTCCACAGAAGGAATTAATTAGGATGTTAAGAAAGATGAGTCAAGAATCTCTGCCAACATCCCACAGGCTTTCGTTGACTTGGCCAAGATATTATACACATTGGACAGGGGGACTACAAAATAATGAATATCTGACAAACAGAATGCAAAATGCACACGAAGACATGGCGAGTCGCTGGGAAAGTGACCTAATAGTGAGCGCTCTCGCTAAGACCAACAGAGCATTTCATCAATCTTATACGCCCCACACTGCTTACACAGCCGGTCACACTCGCTAAAAATGACATCAGGTACCGCCGTGCCGACCGCGCGCGTCAATCGTAGACCCTCAAGAAGACAGTCGAAGCCAAGCTTCGGGGTCACCTACCACCACTGACAGGTAGAAAGAGGTACAGTGCAGGGTAACCCTTCGTTTCAGGATATACAAACTGTGGGTGAATTAGTAATACCAAGAAAACAGGTTATGTGAAAGCCGGCACTATATGCACAGTAGAAGGCCCATGACTAGCAATGGACGATCATTGCTTCATGGTCGTGAATATATTCGCCTATCTAGGGGACACACTACCGATTTAAATCACAACCGATGCAACCAAACATTGAAATTTCTAAAACTATTGTTGATCTGTGCGAAATGCAGCCCTCATAGAGGTGCAGTCATGGAACCCAGCTATTGACGTAGTTGGATAGGTGAAAGACCGCGGTGCCGACACATCTGTGAAGTCAGTGTACTTGTACTCAAAATCCGGGTCAGGTTCCGCGAACACCGTGGCATCCACCGTAACAATAACAACGGAAATTTTGAACTCCAGTGGGAGGATGATCAGCATTGTCATTGCTGATTTCCATGGACGAGCTATAGTGGATAGTGAATATTCGATCTGGTGATTAAAAACATGGAATCAGAAGCCCATAATTCAGAGAGCATGGTTTCCAGTCCGCTCTGTGACAATAAGTGACTAGTGGAGAAAGGGCACCACACGCTTCGGCCCTTTCTGAACCAAGTAATAGACACCTAGTGACAAACATCCAGACTGGAAAGGTTCTACGGACTGTGAGAGTGGAAACAGGATGAGACAGTAACGAACCTCACTAAAGTAGACGGCATTGTGCATGATTTAACGAGGGGACATTCACTCTAGAACTCATCAACAAACAGGCAAAACCAAGATCGCTTACTTGTAGACGCGGCAGAATAAGGCCATCTAGTATCTGAGTTTGTAGAAGACTTTCCGGTAAAATGGACTGCCAGGCCTCCAACACAGCGAGCACGCCCTCCGCATCGTGAGGATCCCAGTCTGTGGAAATGGCCCGGCGGAGGCGCGGTAGCCAACTGGTAGCAAGAAGGATCGAGAAGGCGTTGGGATCCTCCAGAGCCGATCGCCAGTCTCGGATTACCGAAAGACCGTACTTTGGATTCTGAGGGTGGGCGTGTGCATGGAGGGCAGGAGACGAGAGAAAAAGGTTAAACACCTCACAAAGGCCATGTAGACAAACAAGGTGGCAAGAAATCAACAGCGACATTTAGTGACGGGTGGAGCTACGTGGGGGGGGGGGGGGCGCAGCCATGTTTACGCCTCTAGGATAAAGTGCACAAGAGGCAGTGGAAAACTGCGGACAGAAGTAGTCCGAAATTTGCCAGAGTCTGGCCGTCTAATCTACATTCATCGATGACGATGGGAAAGTCATGCGCATGAGCAGGGAAGAGTTAAACACCATTGCCAAACAGAAGAGCTTGTGAAAACGCGTGCTTCCGTTTGTGCGAGCAGACAGTCGGAAAGAGTGTGCTTCGCGACTCAAGACTTTCGCATAGTTCACGATAGGCCATGATTGTCAAAATGCGAAGCGATCAGTACTATCTGGACTTGTGCCAACAAGTCGATTTCAAACTAAAATATGTTCTGAAGCAAAGAAACGGAAACCAGCACGCTTCAACGAAACTGCGAGGCAGCGATGTGGAAAGATAAGGGAATTGCTGCAAGTCGCCGAAACGGGAATCTTCGTAGACCATAGGAGAAATGCATGGACTTGCACTTTAACCTTGGGAGTTCAAACACAAAAACATGATAAGACCAAAGAGGATTCGATGTGATGGACTCAAATGCAAATAGTACATTTTTCCGAAGGTAAAACCGGCCAAAATGCTCCAAAAAATGGGCCTCAGTCATGTTATGAAAATTGACTAGTCAGAATTCAGTAAAAGTCGCCCAAGGTATCAATGCTAACCAAAAAGGAAAAAGCTAAAGGAGCAATCATAGAGTTTGGAGTGAACGTAACTGAATGTATGTTATCCATTCTAAGAAAACTGCACTCTGAATGCCAGAGGAGGAAGGCTGGATTGTATACTATATGCCAAGCGCAGTCGGTGATTAGTATTCCAACTGTTGTACTTAGAAAATGCTGCACTTCAAGCCAGAAGGTTCCACGCTCTCATCGAAAACCTGAGATATGCGACCAACAATTAAATTAGATAAAGGAAACAAATGCGAAAAAGTTCGTGTTGACTGCTAGTTGCCCTCAGGGGGTGGGTGATGGCTGGCGGTTCGCTACCCTACCCCATGTAAAAGTAATGTATCCGGGGTTGACTGATGTATACAAGGCAGAAGGACATGGCCTAAGCCTAGGTAATTTAAATAACGCATCATAGGGATTTAATGACAGTGTTCGACGATCCTTTTGGCATCGTGTTTCGTTGAAAATCTACCGACATCGGCCATACATGCACAATATTGTAAAGAAAGCCGATACCTTTAGAGACGAATGGCTGTCATCCACGATTTGCGTCAGCATGGTCAGCGGCAGTTTAAACATTACTTTAAACAGGCGACAAGGACGGGGGAAACAGTCAATATGTTGGCCACGCCTTCCACTACCGGACAGACAGACCTTGCTTATATTCATGCCTCAAGAAGTTAAAAGAAGTTTCACCCACCCAAGCAATAAACAAAACAGATCTGATAGATTTGAACTAATGACCCATCAATGTTGTATTCATGTCGTCACGGTAGCACATCTGTTTGGTGAAGAGAATTGGCGATACGCACTGTGACTCTTCAATCGCTAATAAGTCAGACTGTCCAGATTTGTCTTACAAAATTCCCTTTGATCGCGCAAGTGTGGTCGTTTCCCATGAGGTTCTTTAGAGTTCCGTAACAATATTACTTTGAACAGTGTATCCCTGTTTGAATAGGCAACAAAAGCTATCAATAAGGTTGTCCAAGCTGAGAAGAGTTAGTTAATTCATTCAAAGCCAAGGGGACAGGGAATTTCAGATGAAAAATGGCCGCGTCGGCTATGGCCATGGGAACAGACTAGTTTAAAAATATCTAATGTACATGCTAATCGACTTAGACCTTCTGCATTTCAAGATCTGTTTTGCTAAGGTAGATAAAAAAAGACATGCCTTTAGTGGATTCCATTTAAGGAGGAGAGCATCAAGAAGAGGCTTGGCCACAGCAGCCAGGAGCGAAGGCAATTCAGGAAGTTTGGCACAGTCACGGCGGATGCGAGTTAGCCAAGTTGCGCAGGTCTCGGGTGTCAGACTGTCGTAGGTCTCACGAAAGTCAACATCGCCGTCCGCATTAGGGCGAACCTGGCGTGCCTCTGCAAGGGCAGATTCGAAAGAAGCCAAAAGGTCGAGGGCTTTGTCCAGGACTTCTAACTGCGCAGAGTCGGTGGCGATGATCTTGTCACAAAATCAAAACACATAAAGTGAACCAAAGGCCGTTTACAAAGCGGTACTTTCTAATTAGGTACGACGAACATTCGTTCAGTTGAGCGATGACAGGCGAACCTGCGGTCACCGTGAGAATACTACCGATGACGGGTACATTGCAGATACAAAATGGGTTATTACTTTAGTTAGCCCCAAATACAAGCGGTCAGCACCGTCGTTATGAATGAAGATCACCGAAGTGTTCCAGTCAGTCGACCAGCGTAGATTTGATGTTAGCAGCGACCGAAAGTAATATGATGGACTATGGGACCCATAAGTCTGAATGCAGTAAACGGGTTCGGTGAGGCTAATGTATTATCGTTGTCTTATAAGCTAACATCTGGACGACCGGATACGGGCCCGGGCGACAAAGTTAAACAGCCCATCTCCACGTGCCACACACGCCATGGTTCCCACGGAACGCTCCAGGCTTTCGTGAGGGCGGCTTGGACCTCACATGCGCGAGCGCCATGGGCGCCACGTTAAGGAGCCATAGCAACCTGGCTCTTGATCCTTGGCAGAGGGCGTCATAGAATGCTTATGAAAGCGGCCTTCGAGAATTTGAAAATGACTTCCTTAGCCCTCCTAAATCAGGCGAGGGAAGTGTGAACAAGCGTGTTATCTTCATAGATGAAGGCTTTCCGCTTCAAAACTTCCGACGCAAGCTTATGTACTTTTCTGTCCTAGGACAAACAATAATGCATTCAGAAGGAGGAGTACCTACCAAGACAGGGGAGACTGGGATGGCCAGTCAGTCAGCCCTACCCAGTCCCAGAACTGGAGAACCTGGGACGCGAACTATGGACCCCTTGTCCTTTCGGTTGTGACCGGGAATATTAACTGTGGTGGAAGTGCGTTCATGGAGACACGCTCGACCTGTTCCGTCTTAGAGTTCAATCTAAAGCCCTTGCATGCAGTCGCATAATGACATGGCTCTGAATCCTAGGTCCTGCAAGCCTGTGGTTGCGCAGGGCTGGTTGACGACGCCTGGTAAGCCGGAAATGGCCGGCACAAGTCACTCTTGTCTTTGTTGATACTCCTTTTTCTATATAATTACTTGTCTTTGTGTGGCTGCCCGAGGGGACTTTAGATTGCGTTTCAAGTTGTAATGGAGCAAGGATGTATCGAGAGCTGCTTGTCACCAACAGGTGCTTCCAGCATAGCAACGAACATCCACTGAACTGTTATTCAAACGACAGTCATACGGCCAGTCAGATTGACTACACACTACTCATCTCAAGGTCCCGCATCTGGGTTCACGATAGCAGATCGATGGGTTGTGCCGAGACTGGTAACGCCCATGGGTCGGACCATGTCCTCGTTCGTATACGCTTGAAAGTTCACATCTCATCGGCGCCAAAAATATCACGTCCTAGACGCCTCGATTGCGCAAAAATCCGACAAATCAACACTGCCGAGGCCCTGAGCAGAGAAATCCAGTCCTGTTTTACATCCCGAACCGACGGAGAAGGCAGGGTTGTATCCTGTCGCCCATTCTGTTTAACTACTCTATTGACTGGTTTCTCGGGAGGGTTCTGTACAAAGGTGACGGTGTCGAGTTTGCATCCGGACACCGACTGACTGATCTAGACTATGCCGATGGTATCTCATTACTTGCCTTGACTTTGGTGATCTGCAGTCTATGGTGTTACGGGTGGACAAGGTCGCTAAATCGGTCGGTTTATCCATAAACGCTGGAAAGACTAAAGTGCTTTAAGCTGCATCTCTGACCAGGAGAAGGCGCCTCTCGGGATTGATGGCTGTCAACGTGAAGAAGTAGACAGTTTGAAATACCTCGGGGCGAAGCTGCTGCCGAATGGACAGAGTAAGGACGACATCGTCTCCCGAATTGACGCTGCCCGACGGGTTTTCTCAAGCCTTAGAGAAGGCCCATGGATCCGACGCAACCTCTCCATCGCCACTAAGATTCGCGTGTACCGTGCATCTGTCCGGTCCGTCCTTTATGATTGTGAATGCTGGACTGTGCGCGTGGAGAACGAGCGAAAACTGGAGGTATTTGACCACAACTTCTTGAGGACCATCCTTCGAGGGAACTATACCGACTTCTTCTCAAATGAGCCAGTTTGCGCTCGCTGCGACAACATCACAAGGATAGCCCAGGCCATCCAAGAAAGGCAACTGAGGTGATTCGGGCATTTTCTTCGCCGTCCACCTCAGGAGCTCAGTTTTACTGCCCTCGATCCGTCATCGTCACCTCATCGAAGGCGCCGAGAAGGGGGTTAACTCAAAGCCTGACTCGACACAGTTTGTCAAGACATGGAGGTGGTTCTTGGACCTTCGGTATTCAGTTTCCGTCGTTGGCGAAGAGAATGGGTTGAACTGTCAAGATCTGCTGCCGCGGATCGTCACGCGTGGAAAGGTACAGTTGGGGACATAATCGAGGCCGGCTAGGTCGGGCATGATCGCAGCCGTGCGAAGTACAAGTACAAATAAAAAGAAAGAACATGCATGGGCGAAGTAGTTAATTCTTTGCCTTTGACCATCGTTTGAAAGAAAGACTAGGGTCATAAGTGTCTGTCGGAAAAAATTTCAGTGTGGCACTTTTAGCCAGAAAATTTCCTGGAAAAAATGTGCTCTCTGAAAAACGACCTAGTCAGAGTCTCGTTCTGTACAACTAGTCTGGCTGTGTTATCAAAGCAAAAGATGAATTTGTAGGAGATTGCTTTCAGCCGTTTATAACAAATGGTATACAGAGGACTTACATCAGTTAGGCGTTCGATTTCATGCTCGAGACTCGCCGATCTGTCCTCCTCAAATCGGGCTGCACGGTCAAGCCGACGAATGTCGTCTTCGGTGGATTTTATAACCAAATCTATGTTGTGGCAGAGGACGGGGACTTCAAAAAAACGACCTTCAACGCGACGTTCACGTTGCTTGGCACTTTCATCGGGACCACCGGCCTGGCCCGTAATTTCCGGTCGTTTGCTGTGGCGCAAAGAACTGGAAAGAGCAGCTTCGTATCCGTCGTAAACCTTCCTTTCACGGGTAGTCATGTCAATCACTTTGACCTTGCTCAGTTCACTGCACACAGAAGAGCATAAGGGGATAAGGTGAAAGGGTCATAGTAACGTCTAAAAAACAAAACTATGGATCGTGGAAGGAGATGAAGACTTCTGGGGGAACAGAGATTTGGTAAAAACGAGACGAAGGTGGTATAAAACTTCTAGTTATTATACATACTTCGCCAGGTTTAAAGCGGTCGTCCGAGCACTCTGGTTATGCAAACAAGGAGCAGAAGCAAATAAGGCACAGCGAAAGCACAGATGGGAGAAAAGGTCTGTTGTGGTAGCATTCGTAAGACTTAGGCATGACAATTTCGCCACATTCGGCGCGTGTGTCAGTCATCCGAGGAGATTGCGATGTCGCGTCAGTTATCGTGCTCAATCAGATAGGATAGAAGGACCCAAGGCATATATATGACACAGACAATCATTGAGTGATCGGAAGGGACTTTTAACTGACCGACTGGGACAGTGGCTGGGGCCTGGACATAGGAAAATAGAGTGAGGTCGATGACTCAGCTCATTTTCCTCACTATAAACAAACTGACGCGGTTGGAGCTATGATGGTGCACCAAAAGTCGTGGCTTGGAAGGTTGCCAACTGGCGGGATAACTTTGACCTCGCAATCGGCCCAGTGTGTGTTTGTGCGGGATGACGGACTGGTGATCTGACAGTCAGGCTGCAATGGCTCCTTCTTAATGTGACCTTCATGACACTCCCACCTAATAGGAGCCGGGTCGAGTGCGGCGGCACGCCTAGGGGCGGCTCCGGTCGTGCCGGTTACCTGCGCTCCCTCCCACCTCCAGTCCTCTTGACTATGTATTGACACCGGGTCCAGGTGGGGAGGAGAGAGTGCGATAGATGCTGCGCAAGTCTACTATCACAATAAAAGAAATCACGCACAGGTCACCGTGTCTGCTCTCACCCTGCTGTGTAGCACACGGTGGACATTGTCGAAATCGATGGTCGAACTGTCAGTGAAAAAGTGGAACTCTCTTGGTCTGTGGGCTTGATCATATGAGACGACAACTGAAGCCTACGGTCGTTTTCAAAGTCCCTTCCGGCGTCGTTTCAGAATGCGAAAGGAGAACACAAGTCAACACGTCCAAATGATAAGTATTCAAAGTATAAGTCGCAAAAACTCGGACGAAGAAACCTCTGGGCCTAGGCGTGGGGCAAATATTCCAGCATGTACGTGACGCCAGTAACCTTGTTAAGGTGGACATTTCGCCAAATAAATCACTGGACACGCTTTACACCCCCAAGAGCTCATTCGTAGGATATTCAGAATGTACGATTTTTCCCAGTCAGGCAGGTATCACAATCGAAAACGCGCTTTATTGACGTGGAATCATGTCCGAGTTTTTAAAAATGTTACGCTTGTGTACCACCGGTTTCCCTCAACTTTTGAAACAGTAAGAGGTTCGCTAAAACACACAGTTAAAAGGATGTCGTGAAGCTAAGATAGTAAAGAGCAGAAACCAGTCGCAAATAAGGATGTTTGCCCACGTCTTTTAAAAGTGATCGATGGGGTAACAACTAGTCTTATTAAGAAATTAAAAATGAACAACAATTAAGAAATCACACAAACCTATTAGTGAGACCGGAACCAAGGCTTCGAATCGCAGCCATCGGTGTAGCAGGACTGACGCGTGCAATAACTTCATCTGCCGTCAGGAAGGCGGTGTTACGAGCTCGAGGCTTTTGGCCACCGGCTTCTTTCGCGGCCGACTTCTTTTTGTATCGTGGGAGGCCAGCTAAGTGAAATAGAAACCAGATGTCTAGCATTGGTGTGGTAAAATACAGCTGTCAGCTTTGTTAACTAAAACCGCAAGTAAAAGCCACGCCACAAGAAACGAAAGAAATGGCGTAGTTATAGTTGTTTGCGTGGTGGTAATGTCATCGGCTCAGTGTCGAAAATGCAAGAACTACGACAAATATAAACACTTTTATTGGGTAAGTTTGTTTGACTACTTTAAGTAGGCTACAGACCGGTCTAGGATGGCGTGGAGCCAAGTTCAGAAGGAATTCTTGACTTACCAGTAATAAACAAAGTTGACAAAAGTATTAGTGAGTTTAGATACCGATTGCAGGTGGCGCACGGCTTCACTCTAACAGTGGCCGACAAGTTCCTCACTCTTAGGTCTATTTAACACCATCGCGCAAATTCGGAGTGAAAGAGGCCCAAATACCATAGGCTGACCTGAAATATCGAGTTCCGGAAGTTGAGTCTACTCAGAAAATGCCGTTAAGTGGCTGAAAAGCCCGATATGCCCTTAAGAATCTCTTTACAAACCTTAGCGCCCTGGCATCATCATTGCTGTCGGCAGCGAGTGCAGTAGGTGACGCATTTCATAAAGACTCTAAAATAGGATTCCTGTTAAAAAGGACTGCTTGGGTGTGGTTATAATACTGACTAAAATGCAACATAGCCACAAGATATTTCAGTCACGTCAGGATTCCGACTTTTCAATGCAGTTCTTTTCGTCCTCTAAAACTGCTACTTAAGTAGTGTGGATTACTTCTATTTGCTTTCGACGCCTTTATAAATTGAAATGCAATTTTAAAAATATGCCACAAGGCTTCCTTTCTCGTACTCGTCTGGCAGGAAATTACATTTTTCAAATTTCGGACTTAGAGAAAGGGTAACCATCAGTTTTAAAAGACCTTTGCACGCATTTTAAGTAAATTACATCTTTGAAATTCGTACTCGAGAAAATGTATCTTCCAGGCTTATGCAGTTTTTCATTCCCCGAGTGACTTTTGCGTTTAGGGTTCCCAAACTACAAGCTATGTATTTTTAACCTATGGAAAATTATGTGTGCTTTTCTATTATTAAGAAGCTGTCATGCAAAGCTCGAAAAATTTTACAATGGATATGGACCATACTGCAAAGCAGCGCTAGTAAATGGACTGATAAGATACTAATTGAATAGACATTTCAGTCTTAAAACCCTCAAGTTCAAACTTTCTTAAAACGAAAGGTACCTGTTCGTCGGGCATGTAATTTAAAGAAGTCGTAATTTCCTACTAAATGTGTAAAAAAAGAATATTTTATATAAGATTCTCACAAATTATTTTTGGAGTCATAAGCGTAGTAAAAATCAATGGAAACATCCACACAACTTAAGTAGCCATTTTTGATGAACGTGATTTTTTGTGGGTGGCCAGAAAGAAGCGCATTATCGAGTCAGCATCCTGGCGCGATTGAAATATCTTCGGACTAATTTGCATTACAACGAGCATTACAAAGCCGCCGACGTAATCCTTCCTGGCAAAAACACATACTCCAAAATTCCGGTTAATATTTCACGAGATGCGTCATCTACTGTAATTGTACAGTTGATGGCTTAACTCATGAAATATCAACCGAAATTCCGAAATATGTGTTCGTTTCGAAAATAGTAATTAAGTAGGGTTGCAAAACTAATTATCGCGCAGCGTAATTCTATAATAATTCAATTACCTCCGGATGCCGACTTTCGAACGAACTTCTTTCCGGCTGCATGAAAAAACTAGACATTGTGAAAAATGATTACTTAATTATCAGGTATTTTTCTCGTTGATTTTCGATGCCCTTAAAAATTCAATTATATTTCATGGAAAACATGCATGAAAAATTTCATTCTTTTACTCATTCGGTAGAAAAGTACGTTTTATTCCAATTTTATACTCAAAAGAAGAGTATAATTCGGTTTTAAAAAACTCTTCCAATTCCCGAATAATTTTGAACCCGACCTGCAGTTACAACAGCATTCAGAGTTTCCAAGCTAAATGCCGTGTATCTTCCACATACGGAAAACCATGCATTTCTCTATGGGATTAGGAGGAGACCATATGGGGTTCATAACATTTAGCAAAGGGTTTTTGCCATATTGCTAACTTAACAAGCCCCATTGGTAAATGCTGAGACATGACGTCTTATGAATGGCCATTTCAAGATACTGAAAAATCTCACAATTAGAAACTCTTTTAAAACCTAAGTACACCCTTCCTTCGGGTGTAAAATTGGAAGAAGGCGTAATTTTCTACCGAATGAGTAAAAGAATGAATAGTTTTATGCATATTTTCCATGAAATATAGTTGAATTTTTAGGGACATCGAAAATCAATGGGAACAACGCATGATACTTAAGTAGTCATTTTTTGCAGAATATAGTTTTTACAAGCAGCCGGAAGGAAGTTCGTCCGAAAGCCGGCATCCGAAGGTAACTGAATAATTATGGAATTACGCTGCACACTGATTAGTTTTACAACTCTACTTAATTACTCTTTTCGAAACGAAAACACATTTCGGAACTGCGGTTGATGTTTTATGAGTTAGCCCACCTACTGTAAATATGATCAGAAACAGGCTAAAACGTTGGTGCGGAAGCAGATAAATAACTTGATGAGTGGCACGGCAATGACACTACCAGATGCGGTTTTACAAACCCCATGATGGAAAGACGGTCAGACACAACACCCCACCGACACCAATCCATACGCGTAGGATGGCCTGCAGGTCGGGAGTCAAAGCAAAAGAATACGAAATGGGAAGGTTGAGTAACCGAGCCTGACAATGGAGCAGCGACTTGCCTGCAGTCCCCAACTAGCCAAAACTGCAGGTAATAACCAGGCTGGTACATAGACTTGGAACGGAAAGCAAAAGTCCTCATTGCATTGATGATGCATGCCGTGGTGCATTCTGAACACAACGGCCGATGAACACCGTGAGATCTCTGTATATCTGTGGGGAGAGTCAGCTCCTGATCGAGTAATCCCGCCTGCTTTCTATATGACTACCATGTGACGAGAATTGTGAGGCCTGATGGTTGGCGTGGACGTCACAGCACGGATGGTAACAGGATTTCCGCGAACATGTCTCATGAGCTGCCTTACAAATTATCAGTGGAGGTGAGTGGTTGAAGACCGGCAAGTCTTCGTTCAAATTGTCTACACCAGCGTTGTTTAACAACGGTGGAAATGGCAGCTATTTAATGGCAGCCAATGTTAAATTCGTGCGTCCACATACGTTTGGTTCTACACTGGTTGGTACAGACTCGATGGAACTGACCAACCGGGTGAGTAAGCCGAAAACCGGTAGTAAAATGACTGAAGTTCCCCAAAACAGGTTGGCCCTTCGCCTGTCGCGCAAATAAAGCAGCTGTCACGACCTTAAAGAGTCTTTTACTTGCACCTTAAAAATTGCAATTATGGATAAATGTTGAGGCCGACGTCAACTTTCAGTAGCTTAACGGTCTAGCAAAACACTTGAAAGTGAACCTGGAACTATAATTAAGTATTCCCATCAGAAATCATTTCGGATCGTTATTCCGCAGACAAAAAGGAATATGACTGAGGAGGAAAGGAACTAAAATCCATGCGCTGTGGAATGATCTGCGGTGGAATACAGAAATAAAAACATCAAACAGGAGTTCATTACAAGGTAATTTAAAGGCGAACCTACAGTCGGCTTCTTCAGCAACCTCAGGCAACTGTTCGTTTCCCTTTCGAGGAGCGGCCACGACTTCAGGGCCCATCGAGCCAACAGCCCCTCTCCCAACGCGTTTGACCGCCTCGACAGGGGTAACAATACCCTGGCCTTCTTTGCCCAAGCCACGACCGGGCTCGTAACCCATCTGTTCCAGCAGCCTCATACCTATGCCTCGAGTATGGCGCTCCCATGAACCAATTCCACCAGAACTGTTGCTCCCTAGAGCAGTCGCCACCCGTCGGCCACGGTAGGTGGATGGACGGGAACTTGACCGATATTTCTCCGCGTCTGTAGATAGTTCAGTGGACTTGGATGAAGCCAGTAATTGCTTGTCCTCTTCTTCATCTGATATTTCCAGGTCCACAGTTGTGTCATCAGTTTTACCAGCTGTTCCCTCCTGTTGAGTAAAGACACGGGAATGGCCGCGTAAAATGTTGGCCCTCGCATGGCGTACAGAAAATATGGTGAAAGTTGCTTGAACCAGGTACAATGGTGCATACGCCAATGTTTAGGTTGGCAAATCAACCAGTATATATAGTGTATAGATGAAGCAGCAGTAAATAAGGCTGATCAACGTACGAAAATGATCCACCATACCGCCAACTTTTAGGGTCACAAAATTAGATTCTACTATAGTCTACTTAAGTAGACCGCGAGGAACAGTTAGTGCGAGACAGTGACGCTTGTCCGAACAAATAGTAGGCCTATCAACCCATGTTTCGCATGACAGTCAGGAAACGTTACAGATGTGAAAACAGGTAACAACAATTGTCGTTAAGTACGATCGAAGCAAGTTTGGGAAAAACACGCGATTGTGGCAACTCCCAGTTAAAAAAGTATTTAAAAAATATTTACCTTTACTCCGCCGCTAACAAATGTTACAGGTCCCGAGTAGTTACCACCCTTGCGTCTGTGTAAAGACGCAACAGATCCCATTCCAGTGGGTTCCGCCTCAGAGTCTGAGTCAGAGGCAAATACACCATAAATCTGTTGCTTTTTTGATGTAAATCTTTTCCGTTTAAGAGGATCTAACATGTACTCATAGTCAGCATCAGAAATTCCGAAACGTTCCATTTCTGGCGAGGAGTCCATCGCCAGAACAGATGTAAATAACGGAACAGGGTGTGTGGGCTGTATATCAAGATTACAGCCTGAGAACCACCTTTTTGGGCTGGCTCTCGATCATGTAGCTGAAGTAAGTGGCTGGACTATTCAGTTCCTTGACTATTTAGATTATTTTCTGCAAAAACGTGAGTGTTTCGGTTTTGGGCGGAGTACTAAGGCGTTTCGAAGGAGATTTTCAGAGGTCGTAACCAAATAAAATAGATTTTGGCGATACTAATTACATCGTTTTCTATACATTTACGTACACTTTCGATTTCTCACGTTACATTTTATGGTACACCCAAAATTTTCTTTGCTGCGTAGTGACTAATCGGTAAGGGGTTTACATTTAGAGCGCCTCAATTGTCTGGTCAAATTCCGAGTTGTAGAAGTGAACGGGAGGCATCATAATAAAGGGTATTTTGTATGCAGAACCCGGAGTCGTCCTCACAGGCGGCAGTGGCCGGCTGGCGAAGACGGGGCTGGTGTTGGCTGTGTCCAGTTATGTCTGATAGTCCCTAGGGCAGTGGTAGCGGCCGCTCTTGCAGGCTCGTGGGTCAAGCCTAAGTGGCGTCCAATCTGTGGGCGTTGGATTTACTGGGTGGCGGTATTCAAGAGGCTTACGCTGTAGATTCAGAGGAGATGTGTGCTCAATTGAACACATGGGCAGAGGCGACTGTGTGGATACAGGCATGTCCGAGCTGAGATCGGTCGAGTAGCTTCAGACCAGCGTGTCTGGAACGGCTCACTACAGGCGGTGAATGTCCTTGAGTCAGCGAGCCATTGGACAATGATTCCAGAATGACCATAATGGCCGCCCGAAACAGCGCTTGTTTGAGTATGCCAAAATACGCACGATCGGTGCCGGTTTTCAAGAACACTAATTCTGCATTTTGTCCTTCTTCCCTGTGTTCCGCTCATGTGCCTAAATTGTTTTTAGTAAATTGGCATGAACAGCTATTTTACCCACTCGCATTTTGCCGGACGTGCATTCACTCAGACAGAAAGGTATAATGATCGACATCAGCTTGGAATTTTTCAGACTTTACCCAGGGCACTTACACCACAGCAACTGCTACTGGAGAGGACCTCAATGTTCGTGAGTATGCACGAATATTTGCCTTTGTCGTTTTTCTCGTATTTTTTGCTGTCGTTTTTGCTAAGAAATGCAACGTCCACAATTAGAGTAACGTTTTCATGTATCTATTCTTCTCTGCACTTTTAATAGTCGCTTTCACTATACTGTGCGGTGAGCTGTAATCCAACATACCACGGAACTGACTAAGTTGTTTTGCTGAACTTAAGAAACTTCTGCGGGGATCCCAAATGGAAATAGGGTGGCGGCGGGTGACCGAGGATAGCCGGTAACCCTTCTTTACCTTCTGCTGACATTTTTCTCGCTCTCCCTCTTCTCTACCATCCTCACTTCTACCGGCACATATCCGTGACCCCCCTTAAAGTTACCACAAAATCGACACTTCCCATTGGTGGTCTAACGGACAGGTCGAAGCCACCACCCATTCCCCACATATAAATTGCGTACGTAACGTTATTCCCCTCAGCACTGTTTCACCTGTTCTTTGTCCAGAACGGCTTCCGTCGTAGTCACACTTGCCTTACGAACTATCCTCATCCCCAGGAGGCATGGACAAAAGCCATAGAAGAGGGTCTTTCAGTGGATCTCGTCTGCTTTAACCTTAAAAAGACGCCTGATGACGTATCAAACTGGCGACTCCTACATAAGATTTCACAGTGTGAAATCTAGGGTAGTAATTTCAAGTGGGTTAAACGTTTCTTCTCACCCAGGCGGCAAAGAACAACTGTTGGTACCTTAGCATTTGGACCGGTATCAGTAGAATGCGTTGTCCCACACAATTTGCTCTGAAGTCCTCTCTCTCCTATTCCATACAAACGACCGTATTGAAGACCTTGACCGCGATGCCATCATGTTTTCAGGGGATAAAAAATGTGAAAAAATGAGCTGTGCTTTCGACGGGCAGAAATTAGAAGAAAATGTCAATAAGGTGACTGCATGGTCCACAAAGCGACTTCTCACGATAAATGTATCCAAAAGTATGGTCTCACACTTCAAAGCTGGTCGGAGACGTTTTCCAAGGCACCAGTAATGTATCAGTGCGATTCCACTGAAAAAGGTGGATAAGCACAAGGCTCTATGTATCTGGACAACTTCCAACATCAAGTATTGGATTACACGTGCTGCCGTGGTCTTCCATTTCGAAAACTTGGCGTAGGTCTTTGGTACGTTTATCAGACAACATTTTTAATATGCAGTGTCAGTGCGAATGGTCCAGATGAAGAAAGACGGTGACCCCATCGAGCAAGTCCAACGACGGGCGACATATTTGTGGATGGTCTTAAGATCCTGTCGGATTCGGCAAGAGGGATTAAATCAAATTATTTCCTCAGTCCTATAGGTCGAGCCGCGCAAATAAGTTCCAAAGATAAGCGAAGCTCTGCTTTTATTTCGCTTTTCCTCGTCTAGTAATGCACATTTCCGACTGAACTCTTCTTAAAATTTACTTATATTGCCGCGTATAATTTCTGCCTTCTAAATTAGACGGTCTGGTAAATTATCTGCATTTTCCATATCACCTGCTTATTGAAACTTATTGAAGCAGTAAATTAATATAAGTGTTAGTTGAACTGTGCGCATTGTTGCAAATTATCAACACTTTGTTCTCTGTAAAGTGGGGAAAAACCTACTGATATCTTGTAATATCGTGAATGCGACTAGTTAAAAGACCAAATCTCAGAGCCTCCCAGCCATCTGTGAGTGCTAGAATCATGGTTGGAGACATAGCGAGTGCCACCGTGTTTTAGCTGTCTTCTCCGGAAGTGGTTAAGTTAAAAGTCGTGTTAGTCTATACTGAACCTTTTGACCCTTTACTCACTCAAATTACGCCTGCTAATCGCACCAGCTCCTCTATACCGCTATATGTGGGCCAGTTGATATATGGCGATACGAACAGCAGTATTTACAGAGTTATTGACCAAGCGTCTACAGTTTTTTGTGGTAATAAGCTCAGAAACGGGGGGAAGGATAAGATATAAAAATAATTTCATACTGCGTAACATTCGCAATCACACACCTGCTATTAAGCGTGAGTGTTTGTTTTCACTAAGCTGTGCTTTGGGTTTCCGAGTCGCGCAAGATGAACGATTGCACTCGTTCAACCTCAATGCACCGATTCTAGCTATATTCTTCTCCTTAATGGGAGACGACTTCATTTTTTCGAAGAAGAAGAAGATAACTGAAGAATTCTGCCGTAAATGGCATTGTTTAGTTTCCTGGACCCTGCATAAATGCGGCGAAGACTAAACAATTTGAAAATGCGACAGTCAACGCCAAAAAACGGCCGTTGTTGCCATGTTGAATAGGTCTTATTCAACGTCATCTGCGGCCTCTCCACGTTACAACATAGTCACTTCCCTAGTAAACTCTGTCAGCGAAGACGACCAGTGTTCCTTCTCCCCCCCTAACGCTGATTTCGTCTCCCTCGCTTCCGCCGTCCAACCGTACCGCATTTTCCTTACCGTCAGCTCACTCCCGGCCCTTACCGCAGTTGCCGACGGTGCTGCATTCCCCACTGATGGCTAACTGATATGGCGTGACCATCTCCCCCTCCAAGCGGATCATCTGTAGAGTATCACTATTTTCTTGTATTCATGACCTTCCACCATTTTCTACTCTAACGTTTATTATCGTAACATGAGTTCCATCTACTAGAGACCCCTTTCTTGTTTATCCCTATTCGCATGTTTGCTGTGGTGTTTAAAAACTCTGTCAATGTTGAATAACCGAGAAGCTACCTTAAGTGGATTATTCGACCGTGGGTGTACAACCTCAACGTCTTCGGCCTCTACACCAGCCATCCAAATGCTGAATAAATCCAGTTTATCTAAGAAAACTTCCCCACCACAGTCAACTCTCACTCACTTAAACTTCACACCCAAAACATAACGAAATTCCAATTAAGCTCCAGACCTTATATCTAACGGCTAAGCTGGATATGCCGATATACCGTCTAAGAATGGAATTCCAGCTCTAATCAGAGCAGCTCGCCACACACCCTCGGCACATGACTGCTCTTCGATCGTTTTGCCAGTGGAAACCTCACGCAATTGTTCATACTTAGTCACTAAACTAGCCCGGTCCACAGTGTCACCTCGGTTGGAATAGGTCGCAGTATCCTACCTACTGATTTCCTGCAGAAAATCGGCCTGCTAATGGCGGCAAGCAGTCCTCTGACCGTCATTTCCTCACCCATATCCTCTCCTCTCTACCCATATCAGACACCTTCGGTGCCACAAATTTTTTACTGAGCCGGACAGCAGCATCCGAGCCCTATATTTCGTGGACAGGTAATTACTGGATGATGTTGCCCACTTCCCTCAAAAGAAAACAGTCTGTCTCCCTAAACCTTTTGTTCCAAATGACAGCTCCTTGCTTAATAAGGCGTACTTACTTTGGCCTCTGGTGTTCGTCCACTGTCCAGATATTTTTTAGCATTTGAGGCAGGGGCAACAGATTCGGTAGCTGACTCTACATCCTCTTGGCTATACTTGCATTCGAAATGATCATCAGAACAGCCATGGTGAGGAAAGCTGCATATACGTTAAGCAAACACTTGAATTATTCAGCGGTTGAACGCAGCAGCTGGCTTCAAGTCGCTTTAAAAGTAAGTAGTTTCTATTCGTCGCCTGTGTCTGTCGCCCACCCAATGTCACTGTGGACTTTAATCTTTGCCCTTCACTGGCATTTCATATCACGGACGAATTGAATTGTAAGTATCGGACGGTTGCGGGTAACTTAAATCTTCCTGAAGTTCGCTGGTCTCCGCCTTCCGGTCCAAAAAATTCGAAGACTTACTTGAGGCTGTGGATGTTGGCATGTGGAGTTGTGTTGCGATTTTCATTCACTGAATCGAACATACATGGCCTTATTTTCCGTAGACGACGTACGCCTT